TCTCTCTAGTAGTCAATTTGATATTACATTGCAATATGTACCTCATGTCTCCCTGAAGATTTAAACTGCAAGTTTTTATGCTGGATGTAATATCAAATGTAATATGTGATGTAATATCGAATCAACCACTAGAGGGAGCCAAACACATGAAGAAAAGAAGCCAAAACCGAAATCAATAGGGACACACAAGCAATGCAAATGAGAATGTGGAGGAGCTCTTAAAAGAGGGCTTATCTCAAACCAGGTGCAAGCAGACCTTTTTCAAACTGCCTTTGTATTCCATTTTAGTAATGGGTTGCTAATGCATTTTTTCCCTGTCATTTCAGACAGACCCATTTTAGTAACCAGCTGCTAGTGGAATTTATTTACTGGATCATAAAAACCTGCTTGCCTCCAGTTAACAAAGCGTGGTTGAGCCGCTTTTGAGGGAAACTGCTTTTGTCCATTTTCACCCCCCTTGTTGTCCTTTTGAATCACTGTAGTGTGTTGTTTAAAATGTCCATAGCACTTCCTACAATGCCACTTCCCCCCCACACCCTTTTTCACCACGTGCAGCTTTTTTAACATTCTAAGTTGAGAGTTATAGCGCTAAACCAATATAACATTCACTATAGTGGCACCATTGAGATGCATTGACCCCACTGAGTCAATGTATCTTAGTAGTGCCACTATAGTGCTGAAGGTCGGTAGTTCAGCAGTTCGAGACCCGAGTGTGCCGCATGACGGAGTGAGCTCCTATCTCTAGTTCCAGCTCCTGCCAACCTAGCAGTTCAAAAGCAAGAACTTGCAAGTAGATAAATAGGTACCACTTCGGTGGGAAGGTAACAGCGTTCCGTGCCGGCCACATGACCACGGAATTGTCTTCGGACAGCGCTGGCTCTTCGGCTTTGAAACGGAGATGAGCACCGCAACCCTAGAGTCGGATTCGACTGGCTTTCGAGCAAGGGAACCTTTACCTTTACCTTTTTAGAATGTTAAAAGAAAAAGTCCGAGGAAGGTCACACGGTGAAAAAGGGTGGAGGGAAGCAGCACTGTTTGAAATGACTGTAGTTCTTCAGAGACAGCTCATTAATGGAAGAAAATTCGCTGTATGAAACCCTCATCCCTGTATCACTTTATCTGAAATTGGGTCAACAACTAATAACATCTGGTTTAGAATGGTAATGTGAAAAGGGCTGCAGTGTTTTTCAAACCTTCTCAATTCAGGAGAACTTTTTCACATTAACCTGCCTTCCAAGGAAACTCTGTGTACTTTAAAAAATTCCAAGGGGCAGGAAAGAGATCTCGGATGCAGGCTTTATTTACACAGAATCCTAGTTTGGCCCATTGGGCATCATTTTGATCCCTATGCGGACAGAGATTGCATTCCAGAACATGCACAGTGTAGCTACATGTTTGCAAGAGAGGATGGTTACCAGCTGGCAAGCTGTTTTCTAGGAACACTTGTCCACCATTAGCAGTGATCTCTTTGAAGACAGTTTGAAATCTAGCACAGGCAAAATCCCCTCTGCCTTTCTGCCTCTCTCTCCAGATACCCCAGTTCTGCCCATGGGAGTGCAAGTGAACTCTGTAAAGCCAAGACTTATACCCCTGTGAAGTTCAAGAAGCGTGTAGAAGACGTTCATTCAGAACCTCTGTTTCGAAAGAGCCTTCGCCAAGTCAATCCAGATGCCCCTGCTTTTGTGGGCCGCCGAGCTCACACAGCTCGGTATTTTATTGTCAATGAGCATGAACCCCGCAAAAAACTCCTCCGCTCCACCATGCGGCTGCCAAGGAATTACCAAATGGATGAGTCGGGGGATGTTGTTGAGCTATATCCAAGAAATGTCCGAAGGTATCTGGTTCGGACACCACACAGGGCATATTCCCCTCCTTTCAGTGAAGAGGAGGAAGAGGAGGAGTTAAGGAGAAGCAGGGCACACAGGTCTCACCGCCCACGCTCACTGTCTGATCTCCGAGCAGCACCCCGGTTCTACATTGGAGAATGCGCAGATGGCCAGATCCTTACCAGCAAGCCCTTGGCTAAAGTGCACTACAAGTCTTGGGAAGGTGGCTTTGGGTTAGCATTTGACAGGCCCCCACAGCCCCACAGAAAGATTCACATGAAAAATATCGAGCTGAACCAGCACTACCCAGAACACCACACCAAGACCTCCAAAGCCAAACACAAGCCAGAACCGTCCCTAACTGAGTCCGATTCTGTTTCTGTTGGCTCTAGTAGTGACCAGCCAACCAGCAGCAATGATCAGTATATCCAGGTCATTCACAACAAAGAGAAATATCTGAAATCCGGAGCAAATCTTACCCGGAAGAAATCCAAGTCTGGCATTGACCTTGATGCAGCTGAGGCTAATGAACTGATCTGCTCCAACGTCTAGGAAAGAAAATGCTGCATGATTTGAGAGTGGCAAGGGGAAAAAAAGAGTCTGGAAGACTTGAGCTGCCAGACGTTTCTGTGTCGTGTTAAAATTAGCTGAGCAGGCTCATTCTCTATTTTTAAAACCTCAGTTCTCCATACTGAGGTGAATTTCTCTTATTATTCCGAATTCTTTAACCTCTGTCCATGTAGGTAGACTCCAGTGCACCCGTTGCACTCCCTGAATTACCTTCTCCTTGCTGTGCCTTCCCTTCAAGCAGTTTGCTCTATAGATGCCGGAGCTGGGGCCCTTGTGGTGGCAACAAGGCCCACATGTGCAGAGTGGTCTGTGGAAACAGGCACCAAGGCCTTCTTCCGAGAGCCTTTCGCAGAACATACTGAAAAGCGGCAAAGGAGGGCTTTCGCTGTGATTCCGCGTTCACGGTGATTCCGTGTTCTGCCATTTTGTGACATGGTCCATTTTGGTGTCACCATTTTTATTTCTTACTGCAGTCATGTTGTTGCTTGTGTAAGCTGCCCTGAGAGAAAAGCAGGATGTAAATGTTCTGCATGGGAAATAAACATATAAACAAAAAGGTGGAAGGGACCAACTTGGGCTGTCTTGAACTTGAAGTTCTGCCAAACAGTATAGGACCATCTTCCCTGTGTTGTTGTTGTTGTCAAGTCACAGCTGACTTATGGCGACCCCTGGTGGGATTTTCAAGGCAAGAGGCATTCAGTGGTGGTTTGTCATTACCCTGGACTTCCTTCCATTCAAATACTGGCCAAAGCTGACCCTGCTTAGCTTTCAAGATGTGACAAGATCAGGCTAGCCTTGGGCCACCAAGCTCAGAGCTTCCCTGTATTAGCATTGGAAAAATACAGTGGAATCGTGTCGCTGTAACTGATGAAGCTGCTTTACATAGTCAGACCATTGTTCTTTCAAGGTTAGTCTTGTCTGTTCTGGCTGGCAGCAGCTCGCCAGCATCTCAGCGACTTTCACATCACCTGCTGGAAATGCAGGGACTGAACCAGGGACCTCCTGTATGCAAAGCAGATTCTCTACCACTGAGCTACAGCCTCTCCCTTAATGTTTTGATAGATACTGGAAAAAGAGTTAGGCACTCTTAGCTTAGTCCTTAACTTTATTAATCATGATGTGTATAAGGCACTGGAGACCACAAGCAGGACTTTCTGTATCTCCCAGTGGCTTGTGAGAAGAGGTCCTGCTCTCTACTAGTTTGAAAGCCAGCCCTGGCCAGAGGTGGTGTTGCAGTTCTACATATTTGTTTATGCATAATACTCGCTAACTGGTTTCCCCACATTTTATTACTAGCAGCCAGTTCAAGGAGCACTGGCACCCAAATCCCTGTCATATGCAAACTTGAAGAGATGTTCCACATGGTTAGCATTTCCCAGAATGTTTTCAAAGTGGTCCATAATACATCTTTGAACTGGAAAAAGTTACCAGTGTTACTGCAAAAATAGGAAAAAATTGGTACAATTCCATAGAATAGGCTTGGGCATCTTACATTTGTCCCATCAAGGATGAAAGTACTCTTTGTTTTTTGAAATTCAAATCACACAATCTTAGATTCTAGTCCAACCGAAATGTTGGGGGGAAAGCGGGACTTTATTCTCAAGAGATGAGCTCCAGAAATCCATGCTAAGCTTTGGCTCGTGTTGAACAATAAGATGCCTCTGAGCATATAGACAGTGTTTTCTCCTTGCCTCTGAGCACATACAGAAAGCTTTCCTTTCATATTGAATGCCAGCAGCTCCCATGTAGTTTTGAGTTGGGGGGGGCAGGATAGATGGTGATCCCCCCCCCCAATATAACCACAGGATGGCAGTCGACCATTTTTGATGACTTTTATGGGTCATTACCTTTCTTGACTCCTGTCCTGACAGAGAAGAATCCAGGGTGACACTTAAGAAGGGCAGAGAGGATGGTTTTCTCCTCCCCCTCAAGTTTCTTGTTGTTGTTTAGTTTCTCGACCCCATGGACCACATCACGCCCTCAGGTTTACACTCTGTTAAATCAGGTTTCAAAAAGCACTTTCTCTGTAGGTGAGTAGTGGCTGAATAGAGTCTCCCCTCCCCAATAAGAGACCCTGTGTGTGTTTCTCTCTCTGTGTGTATGTATGTGTGTGAGTGTGTGTGTGTGTGTGTGTGTGAGAGAGAGAGAGAGAGATCTTAACTGATTCAGCCATTGATGCTATAAAGAAGAAAGCCTTGCTGGTTGAATGTCTGCCTGCTTTAAACTAAAAAGAAAACTCTGGCATCCTCTCTACCCTGGTGAGATTATATTTCTGGGATGGGTGGAAATCAGAAAAGGCTTTTTTGTGTGTGGTGGTGGGGATTCTGCTTGCTTTTTTAAGCAGAGGAAACCAGCAGGTGCCCCTTTTCTTGGCAGGGGAAGCGTCGCCGGTTGAATTTCTCCCTGTTTTAAAGGCACAGAAGCCTGGGGGTGGGGGGGGGAGGTATCCTCTCCACCCCACTCTGGAGCTGAGGCAGCTCTGGTTCCGGACGGCCTCCCCCGCTGGCGCCCACCCGCGCCCCGGGCGCCTCGCTGCCGAGGAGGAGGAGGAGGCGGCGCTCCGGCGGCCCTGGGCCGGCTGCGCCTATCACCTGCCGGGCCGGCCCCTTTTGCGGTCTGGCGACTGTGTGGCCGCCTTCGCCTTTCCCAGCGTCGGGGGAGCCGCGGCCCCGCCCTTCCCAGCTCGCCATGGAGCGCTACCGAGAAGTCGCCACCCGGGCCGCGGAGAAAATGCAGGCCTACCGGGAGGATCTCAGCGGCTGGCGGAGCTGCAAACGCACGGTGAGCGGCGCGAGGGGGACGCCCAGCAGCCAGAGGGGGGGGGCCGGAGGAGCGGGGGAGAGGCGGGGGAGAGGCGACGGCTCTGCTCGGGGCTGCTACAGCCCTGCTGCGCGCGGCGGCCCCCAGCGGGTCTCGTTGTTTCCACCTAAAGGGATCCCGGTTACCGCTGCAGAGCAGTTTCTCTTCTGTGTATGGAGCGCAGCTATGTAGCCGAACCCTGGAGGAGAAGAGTGGGGGTGGTCTGCAGGTGAGGCTCTCCTGGTTGTTTTTTTTAAAACGATCTCCTGTTTGGAGGGGGGAATCTCACCTGGAAGAAGAAAATTAGCGTGTCAAGGAGAAAGTTTCTACTCTAGCCTATTCCTTGGTGAGCTACGTGTCTGCCTGCAGGGGTGTATTATGAAAGAGCCCAAAGCCCCCCACTAATCCCTCACCTGCAGTCGGTAGAGGAATAGCCATTCTGTCACCGTAGGTTTCGGCCCGCCTCGTCCCCTCCTCTCTCTCTCTGCGTGTGCGCTGCGCATCCCGCTGGTTTGGAGTTCTCTTGGCTATTCGAATCTGGCGTTTGAGGACACAGCGCGAGTTTCTCTGCCTGTCTCTGAACTCTCCCCTACTAATTCCCTGCCAATATCTGGGGGAGATGTTGATATATTTTAAAAATATTAAAATGGCACGTGTGATGGCTAGGTTTTGTGTGTGCGAGCCTGCACGCCAAGGCGTCGCGGGGAGTTAAAATGGGGACTGGGCCGGATGCATCTTGACACCTGAACACGTGCTTGCCGGTGCTGTTAACAGGGGCGCGCTGCTTCCCTTGCTTTCCGCCCCGCCCCCGCCCCCCCCCCCCGGTTTACCCAGAAAATCAAGGCTGCCGAACGGGATTGAACCACAGCCCCTTTTCCGTGGTAGCAGCAGCCCAGCCAGATCCACTAAGCATTCATTCAGATTTGTTAAGGGAAACTGCCCTGTTCTACCTACGTGCACGCCTTGGCTCAGAACCATAGAAGGGCACGTGTGAGCAGGGCTCCTTCATGGGAAGGGGGGAGTCTGCTTAGTCCTGTGTCAGCGCAGCACTGGCTGATGTGCCCTGCTCCTATGCGGACGCTCCCGCTTCTCGTCCTCGCCTGCTCTTCTGCACCAGTTCTTGCAGCGAGCGAGCAATGTGACACTGGCTCTGTAGCCCGGAGGAGTTGGGGGAAGGGGGCGCAGCTCGGCCGTCGGTGCCTTTGAGGACCCGGAACAATCTGCCGTTGTGTAGCCAGGTGGAGAAAATGTGGGTTTCATTCGTTTCCTTTGTGCCAACAAGTCTCATCCCTGAGCTTTATTCTCATGATCAAGCTTTGCCCTGGAGGAATTCAGAATATCCTTCATCTGCTTCCAGCCTTCCGACCCCCCAATATGCTGCTCTTTCTCATGGGAACACGCTAGGAGTCCGAAGAACCCGGGAACACGAGTTCCGATCCCCCACTCTGCCACTGAGCTTCCTGGGT